GTATACAGCTCTTCTGGAACTGAGTATTTCAGCTTGAGTATTTGTTATACTGCACTTCTCCACCCTTTGCAGTCCCTTTTCTCTCTCACTGTAGGATTACAGGCTGTACAGACATCCAGAATCTCCAGGGGATAAACTGTGCATCCAAATAAGGTTCCTGATGAGGGGTGCAGAGAGATTCAGGAAGCTGGTGGGGTGCACAATATGTTTTTGCCCCTGGCATCTACTTGCAGAAGCAAAATGCAGCTAAAGCTCCCTGTGTAAAATCAGCTACCCTTTGAGGTCCTCTCAGCCTGCTCCATGAATGCCCTGGGAAGTTAGGTTTTCCTAACTTCAGGCTTCAGTGTCCAGGTGCCTGAAGCCATGAATCAGCTGAGTCAGCAGAGAGCAGGCAGCTGACTGCCTCCCAGCATCAGCTGGGGGGGGTGGGATGGGACACTCCATTTAAGCTTGGAATAGTAGCTTTCAGAGACTCTCCAAATGGAATCAACCTATTGAATTTGTTGCTCTAGTTAGCCTGAAAGGTCCTTAGTAACACCCTGAACCTCTACAGTAAATACGATTGGATATATGCTGGCATCAGCACTTGCATTCCCTCTGGAGCCACATGTCAGCTGTGATCAAGAGGCGAGATCTTGGTCTGTAGCCCTGGACCAAAACTGTCTAAGTCGGTAGCTAGCAGGCCATGGTATGCAGGTCCTCAGTTGTCCATGAAACTCTTCCAAGAGTTAAACAAGGTGAGAGAGGAAAAAGAGTTTCTATTTGGGAACAGCTGGGGAAAATGGACCATGGAGACTTGGTTCTCTAAGCAGAGCAGTGGAAGCTGAATGCCACCAGATGCTGCAGGGCATTGTGCTAAATATGCTGGTGATGAGCATGCATGAGATGCAACAGACCCAGCCCTAAAGGAGCTGCTATTTTGATCATTTTGTTTGCTTCGTTGGGATATTATTTTTGAATAAGCAGCAATACATTCTCTGCCATCCTGGGTGCATGCCAGGAAAAGCCCTAAACCTTTCTTGCTAGCATCTGTATATAATATAAAGGGTCATTTATAATCTCTGTAAGCCATGATGGGGCCTTTCGTCACATTGTCTGAAGCCTGTTTGCATTCTGGAGACTGTTCTTGCTGACTTTTGGCTTGCAAAGAGAAATGCTGGGGTGGTTTTGTCTGTCTCTTGCCTGTCATAGTTGCTGTACTATGATACCTACAGCGAGTTCCAATCTATATATACTAATGCGTCTTAAGATCAGCTATATTCCTATGTTTCTGTCTCACCTGCTTTTATGCCGTGGTAAAAAGCAAACACCTAATAGATGCATTTGTAAGAAAGCCATGCTATTTATGGGAAGCCAAATGTTTTGCAAATGGGAATGTACCTTTCACTCCTTCCACCAAACTCTTCATTCTGCTGGTAAAGAGAAGTCTGTGTTCGTGTGCCATTATGTGAGTGTCATTGGGGTCTGAACATTTTTGTGATCCACACTGTGGTAATTCTGCTTTAGAGAAGGCTCTGGGAGTGCTGGGGTAGCAAATGTTGTGGTACTTTATGGCTGTCACTGCACACTTGGTGCTCCTGCTCAGGAAGGTAGAAGATTGTTGCTAGATTTGAGTGCAGGATCTCTTACTCTGCCGTGGGCTATCAGTCCTGTTATGCCTAGCAAACCCAGGTGATGGCTTCAGGCAGGGAAAGCAGTGAGTGGAGAGCCTTTGGAAGCTTCTCACTTCCCATAGTGATTGCTTCCTTTTATAACAGGTTACTGAGCAGTTCATCTGAAGTCACGAACCTGGACAAGTATTCGTTTTGTTCCCCCACCAATGTCCAGGCTTCTGTTCCGTGGACTGTAGTGTGGGAGCAGCCTTTACCACCAACTGCTGCTTAAGGCTCTGTCACTAGACTGTAGCAAGGTCTGTCCAGCATGTCTCACCTCCACAAAAAGCTTTTCCAAGGCAGAAATGACAACATGACTGCCACATTCCTTGAGCTTGTAAGGGGATACATGTACCTGAACAGCTTATTCCAAGGACCAGCTAGAGCAAAGGTGCAAGAGACCTAGTCGGACAGCAGTAGTTTTGGACTCATTTGGAAAGAAAATCAGCAGCACCCACTGAATGAAAGCTCTGGTAAAAACAGCTTTGGAGGCAGCTTAAAATAACCACCCTTTCTTGCAGGCTTTGACAGAGGCAGCCTGCACAGTGCCATCTCTTTAGCTCCAGACCTATTAATGTAGTGCTAGACTCCCAGGCTGGCTGAAAATAATCCTTGAAGGGGCAAGATGATATTAAATGTGGGTCTATTCAAGGGAAAGCTAAATGTTAGTCTCCAATTTCTCCTCAGGAGCTGCAATTTGGAGCTGCCATTCTACATTAACCAGAGCAGATAGGCTGCCAGATTCCCTCTGGCAATCACATGGTCTGCCTTCATACCTGCCTTGCTTTTCTGCATCGTGCTGGGGTGTGTGGTGGTGTTCGTCTTTGTTCACCTTCCCACCTCATTTGCCTTCAGGAATATGAAGTTCTCCAGACTTGGCATCAGATAGGGAGGGTTTTGCTCAGAGTGCAGTTGAATTCTTTTGGTTTTATCTGACAGAAGTCCTTTGTGTGCACCCAAGAAGGCAGGACAGGTTGTCTTGGAAACCCACCAAAATCAGTATTAGAGTGAAATAATCAGTGTAGGGTAATCCAGCTCAACACCATGGAAAGAGAACTTCATCCCAGATGACTGATGAAAGATGGGAGGAGGCCAGAGGGACACAGTTAAGGCATAGGATGTGTAAATAAATATTTATTTGGGTTTCATTGACGAGCAAGACAAATGGTCTTGACATGAGGGGAGGCACTCAAGTCCTTGATAATTCAGCTGTTTTAAAACATTTAGTAACTTTAGTCTGATTTTGTTAGTATTTGTGCCCATTTATGCTCTGTTACATGTTGCTAGCATTGCTCTTGTGTTGGGACCGATGCTTCTTGTTGCTCTTGCCATTATTGTGTCAGGTTCTGTACATATGCAGTTTGTTTTTCCTGACATGAAATGCTTTTGCCTTGGGGCTCATGGGTGTTGTGCTTAAAATGGGCTCAAGGTAGATCATATAGAGCTGTGGCTTTCCCATCCCTGCTTGACTTGCCCCTTCTCCTGGCATGAGATGTTATCCAGCAACACCCATCTCAACAAACCCCACAACTAAGGCTTAGAGAGCTGAAATAGCCAATTGCACCATGTGTGCATGTGAAACAAAAAGGAAGACTTTGCTTTGAACTGTCACATTTCTGGTCTTCAATTCCTCTGTCTTTGGGTTTTGCCTCCTAAACTTTGAGCAGAAATCATATTGGATCTGTTAAAAGATCTGCTGTCATCATGTGATCTGAAGCTTCATTAAGCTTCTGTTTTTTCCTCTGGTTTTGTTCTGTGATGTAGAAGTTAGTAGAGGCATTTGGGTACTATGGTGTCTGATCCCTATAGGTACACCACAGATCCTCAATAAAGCTGAGAAGTGGTTCTCCACGACCTCCCCGCCAGCCTGGGGTCACCTGAGCCATGACTGTAATCCATGCTTCCTGATGAGGAATTGCAAATGGGTTTACAGTGAGCAGGAGCATTGTCTGCGGGGAAAGCTGCATGGCTCTACCTTGGTGCTGCTGTTGAGGTTAGTGGCACTGGGTGGAAAGCCACCCTGTCTCTGGGTGCCTCACTTTTCTGGCTGTAACTGAGGCTCGGTGAGCTGCTTGCTGGCCCCAGCTTGCCCATTGTGGTCTGCAGCACTCAGCTCAGCCGCTGGCGTTGGTACCTCCTATTCATGGGAATGAGTTATCCAGGGAGCAGGGAGCCTCCTGTGGAGAACGAGTGGGATCCAGAAAGGAAACAAAACACAACAAATGCTGTAAATGGCAAATACTAGAAAAATTAAACTGCCATGGGGAAGGTGGCTTAGGGAAGGAGGAGGGGATCTGCAGGTGCCTGGTCCCACTGTGCAAGCAGTTTGATTTTTGGTATGCAGGGCTGGGGAGCCACTGTGATACTTGGAGAAGAAGGGATCAGTTGTAGTGGGGGCTCTTGCTTTAAGAGGGATGAGGAGCTAGGACTCCTCTGCATGAACAGGGAATGCTTACACAAGCACTTTGTGTGTATTAGAGCACAAGCTGGTGTGTCTCCACTTCCCACTCATGACCCCAGTTCTGATCCCTAAGCAGTAACTAAGTGGCTCTGGAGCCTGTTAACTGTGCTAAGGTACAAGATGCAAAAACATGAACCAGCATTTGGCAAATATGAGTGATGCTTGCAAGGGGAAAATTAAAGTATCATTTTTTTATCCCCCCACTCAAGCATATTTTTCAGAGAAGATGGAAAAGGGTCCTGATTCGCAGGGCTGACACTGCAGTCCTGCCTTCTCACGCACCTTTCAATGAGGAGTAATCTCACTCTTGTTTTCCTGTGAGAGGCAGCATAAGACACCAGTTCCTCCCTCCTCTGTGTTTTCTCTTGTCCATTTTTCGTCTGTAACCTCACCAGGACAGCAATATGACTTGCTTGATCTGTGCTGACAATGAGCTCCACCACACCAAAAAGCAGAGCTTTCCAACTCTGACGTTTTTCTTTGCAGAATGATACCATAACGAGCAGGATGAAATTAAGACCAGTACAATGGGAACTGACTATCAGGAGATTTGGAACACTTCTCCCCCTTTCCTCCCCCACCCTTTCTAAAGTCCTATTGTTTATGATAACAGAACTAAATTATGTACTATAAAACTCTGGCCTCTGAGGACCAAGCAAGAGGCGTTACTGGATCTCTTGTGGTTCAGGTTGGCAGAAGCAGGGAATCTTTCTGCAGCTATTGGGAGGAGAGGGTGGGGTGAGAACTGAAGACTGCAAGTTAGGCTAGCTATGGCTGGCGGCAGCAGCAACCCCACCCCCAGATATTTGCTCTGTTTGCTGCAGTGTGATGTATGTTGGTTCAGCTTGCTGTCTTCTGGGGGCTAACAGTGTCCTTTCTCTCTGCAGGCATTGGTGTCACTATACGGTTACACGGACAGTTTCCTGCCAGGTGCAGAATGGGTCAGAAACGGTGATCCAGCGAGTTTATCAGAGCTGCCGGTGGCCAGGACCTTGTGCCAACTTAGTGAGGTAAAAACCTTCATGTCTCACCTTGCCCACGTTTTCCTCCACTTCTCATGAAATTGGTTAGCTTTGAAGGACTGGGTAGAGGGTTGAGATCAATGGGTCTGATGGGAAATCCAGCTTCATGGTGGCATAACCAAAGAATGCTGTTTGTGTTAGCTGTGGAGCAACTACACATGAAGGTAAGTGGACTATCAGAGACAAGCTATGTGAGACAGTTTAGCTTAGGTTGTAGTGCCAGTTTGTACTTCTCCACACAGGAGAGTGCTGTTAGTCAGGTGTGAAGCTAAATAAATGTAAGGTCCAACAGAGTGCAGTATGGCTGAACAGGGAGAGCAGGGATGCTGCACCAGTGGCACTACGTGGCTTGTTGGTGTCGAGTCCTCCTACTCAGATCTTCAAGAGTATATTGATCAGGTAAGGTAGAAAGCTTTGATCATATTCCTTGCAGCTGGTGATGGATACAGGTAATGTGCCCTGTACCTTTCACAGTGGAATTTCCTTACAGCACTCTTACTCCCACATCTCAATATCCTTTAGAGGCATGCATGAGCACAATGTCTCCTCTCCCCAGATGAGAAACAAAGCTCAAGAGCCATTGACTTGTCAAAAACTTGCCCTGAGCCTGCTTTACCTTTCTATCATTTACAGTCTTGGAACCTACCTACATTCACCCTTGAGTGAAATAGCTATCCCCAGCTACCATCTTTCAGTATGCAAAATGTCCTTGTATTGTTGAGCTTTGCCTTTTCTGAAGGACATTCTTGGAGCAGAATAGTGTTACCCACCCATCTGGGAACTGGTGTAAAAAAGCCATTGTGCTCTAAATTTACACCTAGCTTCTCTAACAGTTTCCCATGTAGACAAGCCCATAATTTAGCTCACAAAGCTTAGTCATTTTATTGTTATTATTACCCATTCACCCACAGGGCACTGATTGAGGGCCTCATGTAATTGATAACCTAGCCAAAATGTGGTTGAACTTCCCACTGAAATACCCAGAGACCCACCTTCCCAATCTGTTCTTGTGACTCTTCATCTGGAATTCACATTTTCCATGTGGCAGTTACCACAGTTGGTTCTCCAGTTTCTACTTGGCCAGTGGTCAGTTGGAGTTTTTTCACTTGTAATATATCTGCTTTGGTGTCTCTTTGGTCTTGTTTTATGCAAAGCTGTGGTTGAAACACTTAATATTTTACGCTGTCATGGCCAAACTTCTGTGAAGCTTTTTAATTTCCCAGACTTTTTATGCACATAATTGTCATTAGAAACTTGTGAGCTTTCACCTTGTCTCCTAAACTTGCCAAAAATCTTGCTTGTTTTTCCCTGTTAACATAACTATAATTTCATAAGTACCAAACAATTGATCATGTTACTAGTAAAAATCCTTTTTATGGGCTCCTGCATTTATTCATATACATCGATTCTTACATTGTTAACCCAGAGCCTTTAGGAGTGGTGCGTGCTCTTGTGGCATTGTTATTCATGGAACTTTTCAGTTTCAAATGGAGTTTGGTTCATTTGCCTGACGAGTCCAATTGTTTGGAGACAATGCAGAATGGCAGCAGGCTTTTCTATGTGAAAACATGGAAAGAATCTGGGGTTATTGATATTTAAGATCTCAGCTGGTAAAAACTCAGTGGACAGGAGCTGTGTTTCTGGAAGGCAGTTCACCTGGAGGTATGTAACAGATTGTAGATGTGGTGCTTAGGGACATGGTTTAGTGGTGGATTTGGCAGTGCCAGGTTAACTGTGGGTCATATTCTATGATTCCAAGGAAACTCCCAGAAGAGCTGGAAGGATGCTAATGCTCTGTTCTTTTTGCAAGTGGGAGGAAATGCAAGCAAAGTGAATGGCACCCTTACAAAGAAATGGCTATACTGTCTGTCCTCTAATCATGCACCATATGACATTCTTGCATGAAGTAGAGACATACATCTCTTTCCCAAGGACCTTTAGAAAGCTGCTGACAAATGCTAGAGGCCATCCATTTATCAACAACGATAAAGCAGGAGTGACACGTGCTGGCTCCTGATAACTTCCTGTACTACCACCCTACAAAAGGGAACACGTAGCAATGAAGTTGAAGCCACTGACAGCCTGAGAGCTGAGTGGGTTTTTGAAGTTATCCTCATGCCAGACATCTTTTATAAGTGGCTGCTTGTTTTCAGCAGTGCAGCTGAGTTCTGATAACAGAATGAAAAACAGCCACTGAAAATGATGGATCCTGTGACATGGAACAACTGTGGGCAACATCTGGTAACCCTGAGTCATGTTGTATGGTTGAGGTGCTGGGCCTACATGCTAACCTATCAATGTTATGTTGCCAGCGCCTAGGGATATGTGACTAACTGGCTTTCTGTTGCCTCAGAGTCAAGCAGAGGGTTTTTTTGTCCTCTTTCACCAAAATGAATATTGTCTCTGTAGGAGATGCCAATCTCTTCTCCTAATTCAGATGAATCCAATCTCCTGTTTTCAGGTGAAAATTCCCAAGGGTAGCAACAAGACAGACAGTCCCCAAAGTCACAGGGCAGTTGAGTCCCTCTTCTATTCAGCACTTCACTTGCTAGTGCAGTTCCTTACAAGTTATGCTGTTTTCTTTCTTTTTCTGCTTAGAAAGTGGCTTTGGAGGGGCTTGTAAACTTACAGCAGCCACCATGCTGCACAGCTTCTTTTGGCAGGCCTCGGAAGACTCCTACAGAAGATGAACAGAGCAGAAAACTAAGGTGCCCTACTCCCCCCACTTCATCTACTTAGTGGTTTGAGAGGGATCTTTACCTACCTTTCCAAAACAAAAACCAACCCAAACTCTATCCTAGCATGTCTGAAAGCTTTGGGTGATACGGCTCCTTGTCTGGGGCCTGTCCTGGTCACGGGATTTGTGTCTTGGGGGGGACATCTTCAGTAGATAGCTTCAGCAGGGAACAGCAGTGTGCTAGTATCAGATGTGATGGTGTCCTGTGCCAACACTTTGCAAATCGCCAGAGAGGGCTTATGCTGGCTTCATGGAAAGGGAAGCAGTGAATCCCTTCTATAGGTCACCAGTTCTTGATTGTGTTCCTGTAATATGGAGGAGCTTCTGTATTTTCTCTGTGGTTCTTAAGGATTGCCTGCCTCTGTCTGCAATACATGACAGTCTAGCAGGAATGCTTCACACGGCCAATGCTTCATTCCCATCAAACAATGTTGTTTCTGTTTCCTCTTTACCTTCTCTGTACTAGTACCTCTGCCTTCAGGCCTTCTGGAAGTTTAGTTTCTGGTGATACCGACTTACTTCAGGCTTAGTAGTGGCTAAAAATATTTGTGCTCTCTATATCCCTGTGGTTGTTCAGGTAACATAAATATATCTTCTTTCCTTTGCCAAAAAGACAAACAACATCTGGCCACCTTCTCTTTTTCTCTAGTGAGATTTCTGGTGCCTGAGCTTGAAGAGGGGCACAGACAGATTCATAAGATCTTATGCATGACTGTAGGCAATGCAAAATGTCAGTCAGCCATTGGCATTAGTTTGGCTTTATAGTATTTCTCCCAGCTGCACTTGAAGCAAACTGTTTTCATCTCCTTGTTTGCAGGGAGTCAGTAGTATCTGAAGAAGCTTTCACTCTGCCAGCACCCATTATCGGGCTGCTCACTAGCTAAAGGGACACCAGCCAAAACCCAAGGCATCTCTCAACTCATGGTGACAGCTGAGAGGGGTTCTCTGGTAGAGACTCAGCTTACAGCAGACATCGGTGTGGCCAGACAAGGATTTAATCTATTTCCTGTCTCCCATTAATTCGTGTTAGGTTTCTTTCCCTTATTGCACAAACTGCAGTTCAGGGTCAAGCCTTTGACAGAGGAGTATCCACAAGATCCCCAGCCCAGCAGCTTTGGTGATGGCCTTGCTGTCTGTTCACTTGCTGTTGGGCAGCTGGCAGCTGTACTTTGCAGGAGTGTCGTCATCTTGGCTGGGATGGGATGAGCTGCTCTGTTCTTGCCCTCCACTCCAGACTCTTTATTTAGCTTGGGTGCTGAGTTGCTTTGGAGCAGTGTTGGCTGGAGACTTTTCCCTCAGCAGATCTATTCTTGAACTCTTTCCATTTGTGTAGTGAAGGCTTCAGCTTCTGCACACCATAGGATATGCCTTTGCTTTGTCACGCTACGAAGTGAACAGGCAACTTTCCAGCAGCCTGGCTGAAACTCCTGGTGTACTTAGAAAATCACATGCCATTTATCTGTCTGAAGGAAGTGATAAAGTCTTGGTGTTTCAATAGCAACGTAATCTCTGGGGCTCTGCTGCCTGGATGATTGCACCCAGCTCCCCATAAACCCAGGCGTCTGAATGGTAACCCTTCTCCTGAGCAGTCCCTTTGCTGTGGCAGGTAATGCAGAATGCTGTCATGCTGAGGATGCTGCTCTCCTTGAGGCTGACTGAGCAGGGTTGGCCTCATAGGCCAGGCAAGGATGAGAGACCTCCATCCAGTTGCTGCAGCTTTTCTGACTTCTGTGTCTTCAGTCAGGGTATGCCACCTCACCTCAAAGATGAGGACAGCACTTCTTTTGTCTTAATGTGTTTTATGAATTTGAGAATAAGACAACTTCTTGCTATAGCCTAGTTGGCCAAAATCAGATGAATTTTCATTACAGTATTTGTGCATAAGTGTTGAGGTCAGTAAAACAGTGTCTTGAGAGGTAGGTGATTGTGATGAGCAGCCAGGCAGATCATGCACTGTTACAGCCTTCAGAAGACAAACATTTTCTGCTTCAAACTGTTGTTGCTGTGAAAATCCCTCTCTCATTTCTGGAATCATGCCGCTTGAGAGTGATCTTTGTCTCCTCTCTTACTTGTCTCATCCGAGAAAAATGAATGTTCCCAGCAAAGTTGTGAGGTTTTTATTCTGCTATCTCTTGCTGTACTCAGTGGTCACGTATCTGTCTCACTTTCTAGACTTTAGGCAGCCTGTCTCTGCAGCACTTTCTGGCTTCAGAGAATCTGAAGATTCCCCTGGAAACCCATAGCTGGCTTG